GTAGACTTCTCCCTCTGCTCACAAGCATCCTGTACACAAAATTCTATCTCAGAGTCTAATTTCTAAGAGAACCTGCGACAGTATCAATAAGTCAACGTAGCAGAGATTTTTAAAGAAAATTATTTATTCAAAAGTGGAAAAACTGGCCAGGTACAGTGACTCATGTCTGTAATTCCAACACTTTGGGAGGCCAAGGCAGGAGGATCACTTGAATCCAGGAGTTCAAGACCAGCCTGGGCAACACGAGAAAACCCTGCCTCTACAAAAAATACAAAAAAAAAAAAAAAATTAGCCTGGCATGGTGATGCACATCTGTAGTCCCAGCTACTTGGGAGTCTGAAACAGGAGGATCACCTGAGACTGGGAGGTCAAGGCCGCAGTAAGCCATGATTGCACCACTCCACTCCAGCCTGGGTGACAGATAGAGTGAGACCCTATCTCAAAAAAGAAATGGAAAAACTTTTAGCCCTGCTTTAATCCTGGAACTCTTTGGTATTGCTTTCCTTAAATACAAACCAGATTTTGGTCTTAGAATGGGGTCTAGGCATATAAATTCTAGCGAGAAAAACTCTGAAGTTGCTTAGTGTCAATGCATGAACAATGTCATTTCTTCCTGGGAAAAAAAGGGCTGATTGTGACTGTGCCTATTCTATGAATTACATAAATCAGTGAGATTTATTACTATTATTATTATTTAAAAAGTAATGATTGTTGATTTGATTCTTAGGGGGTACTAGCATCACACAGTCCAAAGCTATTTTATAACCACAGATCTCCTCCCAAATTCCAATCAGGAATTGACAAATGTATGTGAGTGACAATAAGGGAGAAGATGCAAAAATGTGTTGAGGGTTACTACATTTTAATCAATGTACAGGTTAATTTTTCAGACACAACATAAAATCAAACAACAACTGGGTCATTTTATTAACTAAACACCATTAACTGAAATATTCATGACCTTACTGGGAGGAAATTTATCTACTGTAAACTCTCTCATTTGTTCCCATTACCTTATTGCCATCCTCAACCTACTAGCATCCCTATATGTAATGTCTCATCTTAATCTTCAATTTCAGAAGCGTATCTCCTCCTACATGAAGTTAAGCACTCAACTGATACTCCACTTTGGCTCCCTTGTCTCTTCTCAGGTCTTCCTATCTTTTATAGACTGGAAAGAGATAAGTATGGTTCTTAGAGCCCAAATCCAAATATCTCTAGTGCTTATTCTATTTTTTTTTTGTCCCTATGTTTATTCTGTTTGTGGGATGGATCATCTACTTCATGAATGATTCACAAACACTGGAGTTTTCTATACAGTCATCCCTCAGTGTCCTTAGGGGATTAGTTCTAGGACCCCCAGAGATAACAAAATTCAAGGATGCTCAAATCCCTAATATAAAATAGTGTAGTATTTCATATAACCTGTGCACAATCTCTCATATACTTTCATCTCTGATTGCTTATAATACCTAATACAATGTAAATAATACACAAGTAGCTATTATACTGAATTATTTAGGAAATGACAACAAAATCTGTACATGTACAGTACTAATGAAATCATCTATTTTTTCCCTTTATATTTTCAACAGAAGTTGGTTGAATCCAGGGATGTAATACGGAGGGCTGACTGTATTTCCAAGTATCTGCAGAAATTTTCCTCCTACTTGTCCTCCCTTCCTATACTGAACTTAACATCTTCCTCCACAACGTAACTCCCTTCTCAGTCACATATATATCTCAGTGGCATCACATAACTTTTTTCAAATGAGAACCCCAGGGTAGAAGCTCTTGACTCATGTTTCAAAATAAATATTTTACCTAGTGCCACTGCCACTCAATGGGACACTGTTACCACATTATTCTCCAAAACTCCTACTCAATTATAAATTTTCCTGTTCACCAAAGAACAGATGGCTCCTCATTGTTTACTGACTAATACCCAGGTCCTTTTATTGAGCTATTAAGGACCCCCAAAATCCAGCCTTATTTCCTACTATCATTTAACACACAATCTCTGTTCCTGCAAGCTACAGCTCTTTCTCTCTCTCTGAAGCACCTTGCATTTGCACATGCTACACATCCCATCCTTCCGATTCCTTTTTCTGCATTTCCCCATTTATCCAAACCTGTCATTCAAAGCCTAGCTCAAGACCCATCTCCACAAAATCTTCCACAACTCCAACCCACTGTAATTTCTCCCTGCTTTAGATTTGTCCTAGTTTCATATACAATTTCAAGATTTACTGATTTTAAATGTTCACCAATTGTTTCATCTTACTTTTGTCTTTCTAATTTAGATTGCTAATAACTTTTAGGCACTATTCTACACACACACACACACACATACACATTAATAAGGACTTTTAATTAATTAATTGCTTAAGCATGAACATTTAGAGAAAAACACACCTATAAAGTATTATAACGTAAATTCTCAAATACTGCAAACTAGAAAAGGAAGATGGGACTAAAATTATTAATAAGGACAAAACCCTTCTTTTGCACAATTGTTTTTAATCTTTTTCCATTGTTTGCAAATCTGCCAAAGCTACCTTAGAGCCCTGTCTTAATTTTTATCTCCTCTTGTTGTTACTGTCTGTCCTCTAGTGGAAGACAACAATAAGTGAATAAAAATTAGCCCAAAGAAGGAAAGAAGTGGAGGGTTCCTTTTTAGTAACTCATAATCACAAAATCAGTAGCTTTTATAAAAGATGGAATAATTTTAATTGGAACACCAAAATATAATTTGAACACATACAAAAAAATCTAGAAGACAATAGGGCTAAAAGAAGGAGGAAGTGGCACTGGGTATGGGGAGTGCCCGGGAAGGGGACCAGGTATAAGGTTGGGAATATTGCTCTGATGTGCACAATTTAGGTTGTTTTTATTTTTCCCCTCAGGTTTTTTTCTGGATAAATCTTGTTTACTAACTACCAAGCTGCTTGAAGTTATAAGCAAATAAGTAAACAAAAATAGGAAAGCCAAATGAATACTATGTTTTACATTTAAATAATTAGCTCCCTTGTTCCTTTGTGAATTTATCTTGTACAAAGCGAGTTCTTTCTGTTTGGCAATATTAATAACGTAGCAGTTTTAGCAATAAAGACATAAAGTCATTTCCCCAAGTGGTATGCCTCTCATTATTCTAAATCATGTCATGGTAAACCTATCACACCAAATCACTACATGTAAAGTAATATTTTTTTTTACATCTTGATTTTAAACATTTAATAACTTTACAATAACGTAAGCATAGACTTCATGATCTGATATATGTAGTCTTTTCTAGTTGTGTTCAGAAATAGTTTTAAAATTTAAACTTTTCAACCTTTAAAATTGAAAATTATAAATTTTGTTTTAATCATTTTTTTTCTTCCTTTTCCCAGAAGTAACAGTGCAATGTGACATAAACAGCTCCTTGCCTATCTGGCTGCCCCAGCCAAGCTGGGTCCTGCGCAAGTTTCTATAAGAGCTTTCTACAACGAGATCTCAACTACTGAAAGGTTCAGATCACTCGACTTTTTTAGGTGAGGAATAGTCTGTTAAGGCTAAAAGCATCGGCTTGACTTTTTTCACTGATGCTCTTCAGTGAAAAGCACAATGGTTAAATAATGAGGAAAATTGCCCACTCAAATGTTTAGTGTTGCTTACTGATGCATATCATTGCTGATTGTGATTCTGCCGCACACTAGTCATATCTAACCTTGGGCAAATTATTTTACCTCACTACGCCTCCGTTTCTACCTTTGTAAAATGGAGAGGTGTCTTCCATGTCTAATTCACTGGGTTGCTGTGCAGATCAAAGGGGGAAAAGCATGTGAAAATTCTCAATAGAAAGGTACATAGAGTATAGTTATTTTGCATGTGCTCACTAGTAAGATTAACATGTGGAAAGTAGATTTTTTGCTGGAAGTCATTCAGAAATTAGGAAAAATACCTTTTCTTCTTTCAATTATCAAATTATAACATTTAAAACCAACTACACTCTTCCCTTGCAGCTGCTCCGTCTACTAAAAGTGAAACCTGAAAACTCCCTCCCACATCAACTCCTAACCTTCTACAGTGAAACCAGGACACCCCCACAGTGGCCCAAGTTCTCTATAACTTCTATAGGAACCTAGATGTTGAAGAGTGTGTTCTCTAACTCGTAGTGTCTCTTACAGCCCACACATCTTGAAGATAAATACAGACATACATCACAGACACACCACTGTAACTGTAAGCATATTATATTTTTTAAGTGCCTAATCATCGAAAGTGACAGAAAGCAATAAACTGCCCTAATCTATGCTACTGGCAATGTGGACCTAAATGAGTTAGGGTTCTTATTTTTTAAGAAAAAATTTAAGAGAGAAGAGGCTGGGTGCAGTGGCTCATACCTGTAATCCCAATGCTTTGGGAGTCTGAGGTGGGAGAATCGCTTGAAGCCAGGAGCTCAAGACCAGCATGAACAATATAGCAAGACTCTATCTCTATCAAAAATTTTAAAAATTAGCCAAGCATAGTGGTACATATCTGTAGCTCTAGACACTCGAGAGGCTGAGTGGGAGGACTGCTTGAGCCCTGGAGTTACAGGCTGCAGTGAGCCATGATTGCACCACTGCACGCCTGCCTGGGCAACAGAGCAAGATCCTGTCTCAAAAAAGGGGGTGGGGGCAGAGAATAAGATAAAGAGAACCTAAGTGCCTTTGATTGCTGCTAGCATGTATTTGATTTATCCTGCCTTGTTCAAAAAACAGGAGGAAATAAGGAAGTGGGCAGTAAGACAAATTATAGAGATCTGTATATTGCAGTAGGATACAAAGTAAAATAAGCAAGACACCGGAAAAAAGGATGATAAAGTAAACTAGATATGGGAGTAACCCGTATTTAGCAACCCCCTATAGCTATTATTGCAATTGATTTGCATTGCCCCAGAAGAAAGACAAAAAATAAACTCAGGAAGATCTGAGACCAGGTTTCTCACTGTTCTCCCAAAGAGAATTCACACTTACCAGCCACTAAGAAGACAGCCAAAATCAACAGTAGCCCTAGGTTAGCAGTTCTCCAAGGGCAGAGCATTTCTGTTTTCTCTTTTCTGCCCTTCACTCAGTACTTTTCCTCCACACAGGTACAGAAGGAACTGTGTGCATGGTGAGACCCTCTCTGGTCAACTTCTCAGTACACGATCCTCTTACTCCATCAACAGCGGGGCACTCCCTTCCTTCTAGACCCTTCCTTCACGTCTATGTGGTTTAGCCTGATTAGTAACTTGGACGAATGAAGCTTTTCTCTGGAACTTGACACAGCAATAGATTTCCTGTATGAAGCCCTGAAGCAAAGACGGAGGAAGCAGATTGATCGAATTATCTCTCAGCTCATTGGTTCTCCTCTCACTTCTGCTGTACACAGATAAATTTTACAGTAAGGCACTGAACATGTCCAAGATAAACAGATTTGTCTAAACTTGTACCAAAGAGTAAAACAGAATATTGATCTATTTTGACCCATCCTTGTAAATTTCCCATTCATGATAACTTTTAGAGGCTTTCTCCAGGTTGAAGAGCTTTATGGCCTTAGTATTCAAGTCTGGAAAACAGTATTTTTCCTTGAAAATTATTGTGTGAAATTACTGTCTATAATGGGAGTCAACATACAACCCTGTAAACATCATAAGTGTATTAGCTTCCTATTGCTACTGTAATAAATTACCATAAACTCAGGGGCTTAAGACAATATAACATTTATTATCTTACAGTTCTGGTGATCAGAAGTCTGAAATGGACCTTAGGGGACTAAAATCAAGGTGTTGGAAGGGCTGCACTCCATCTGCAGACTCGGGCAGAATTTGTTCCCTGTCTTTTCCAGCGACTTGAGAATGCCTGCATTTCTTGGCTTGCAGCTATATCATTCGGACCTCTGGTCCACTGTCACATCTCCTTCTCTGACTGTGACCCTTCTGCCTCCCTTTTGTAAATACCTTGTGATTATTTTCAGTCCACCCAAATAATCCAACATGATCTCCTAATTTCAAGATCCTTAATTTAATCACATCTGCAAAGTCCTTTTTGCCACACAAGGTAACATATTCACAGGTATCAGTAATTCAGATGTAGGTATCTACCTTATCGAGGGTGAGGGCATTCTGTTTAACAGAACTCAGTATTCATTGCCATTCAGTTTCACCTTTGGAGAATCAGACTGATCATTTTGACCAAATTACAAATAATCACCTATCTTTTAGTTGCCACACATCTGGAATTCAGACTTCCCCCACCAAAAACAAACAAACAAACAAAAAAAACCCTCTTCCTTAATGTTGCTAGTTACTACGCTTTTAAGTTATGTCTGAGAGAGGGAAAAATATTTTATGTGCTAAGAATTTTCTACCCCAAGGCAAAACTATACAGGAAGGGGAAGAAAACATTGCAAACAGGAAAAAGATAAAACAGCATGCATTTTTTTTTTCTCAGTTAGCAGTTTCATCTTCCTTCTTGCCAAACATTATAAATATTTCCCCCCTTCCCCTTCTCAAGCTTTTTTTTTCCAATTAATTAATTTGATGAAGACAGTGAAATCAGGTCCTTGAGGGCATGGAACTCTTGAGGGTATGAGCTATGACAATGGGAAGACCATAACAAAAAATGTCTTCTCTTCTGTCTAATGTTTCACCAGGTGTTGGAAAATTAGTGAGAATACATCATTTAAAATATGGGTAACATTCTGGTTTTCCACCACATAGCAGTTAAAGTTGGCTGGGAGTAGTGGCTCATGCCTGTAATCCTAGCACATTGGGAGGCCGAAGAGGGCAGATTGCCTGAGCTCAGGAGTTCAAGACCAGCCTGGGCAACATGACAAAACTCCAAACTCCATCTCTACTTAAAAAAAAAAAAAAATTAGCCAGGTGTGATGGCACTTGGGAGTCCCAGCTACTTGGGAGGCTGAGGCATGAGAATCGCTTGAACCCAGGAGGTAGAGGTTGCAGTGAGCAGAGGGAAGTTAAAGTTAAAATTCACACTGGTTTAGGATACAGAGAGACATAGGGTTAAGTTTCTGTTGTGCAATTACTAGTCCAGTGATACTGGGAAAGTTTCTTACTCAAGTTTGTATCTGTTTATGTTATATTGACATTAGCTTTTTCTCATGTCATCAAAAATTCTGGGAGATCATTTATTTTAATATCTGCTCAATGACATAGCCAAAACTAAACCACAGACGGGCTAAATGGCCTAGGGCCTCAAAGCGATTTGTTGGCACAGCTGGGAATAAAATGTGTTATATTTTCTAGCCCTGTGTTCTTTTCACTCAGCTCCTCTTCTTTGAAATTTCAGGCAACAACTTTCATAGACACACTCCAATGCACTTACCTGAGGTCAGACCACAATCTGCAATCAGCAGTTTAAGAATCAAGTGATGGGTATAAAAAACCATAAAATTCGCAAAATAGATTTGGCAGGATGACAGTTTCTCTCCCTGGTCCCTCATCCTCTCCACCCCCAAACCACACGCCTGTAACCTCTCAACTCCCACCTTCTACCTTTTATGGACCGTGAATGTTTAAAACAATAAAGGGACTAAAAGTTTGTTAACATAATTATCCACGACATGCCATGAAAGTCAGTATAATTAGAGAAAGATGTGTCTGGTAAACGCGCCTCTCTAAAAAATCTAAAGGCCCCAAATTCTCCCTGGTTGGGCCCCTTGGGCATAGGACCCAGGAAGCAAAGCAAAAGAGTGAAAAAGGATCAAGAAACAGGTGTCGTTCAAGCCAAAAACCCAAATCTTTTACTCTACCAGTTTTCCAATTCTCCTTCAATAGCATAAGAGAATCATAGCATAAGAGAAACAAACAGAACAATGTAATGCCAATTAATGTTGTAGCCAAAACAAAAAGACACAGAAGCTTTAGTAAATTAGAACTACATTAGGCCATAATGCCCCCAAACCAGCATGGTTGGTTTACTCAATTTATTAACTGCAATAAACTGAAAATTGATGTAGGTACCTATAAATGTTGTTGAAGTAAACTTCTTCCAATCAAGTGTATATCTTTCTCTCCAATGTCAGATTCAGACTTAGCCACACTGAAACCATTTAAGATGAAATGTTGCAGCCTTGCCCTTGGGATTCCTCCCCATTATGTAGGAGATTTGCATGGCTCTTGAATACTTACTGCAAAGATTCTATGGACTTTTATTCCTGACTTCTTGTTCCCTGGACCCTTTGTTCCCCAGTACCACTGCCTACTCATTCACCTCTTATATATGAGTCTTGACTGCCGAGAACTTCAGCACCTGCCTGCCCTTCCTACCATAGCTAAATTTTCTGGATGTGATTCTTGCAAAATGGGCCAATAACTACTTGCCTTGTCACTGTTACTTTTGGTGAACTCTCTGGCTTAGACATCTGGCCTGACTTACCCTTCTATACACATGCATGTGTGCACACACAAACATACACACACATACTCACACAAATATACCAGCTAAACACTTAGTCGTAATTCCCTCAATCTACTCTGTCCTGCTAGCCAAGTGGTAATATACCAATTTCACAGAGGTAAAAAGAACAATACCTAATAGTCTAAAGGATTTTAAGGGACTCAAACTCTACAACACTCTACTCTTTTCTTTACTTCCTCTCTGCCCCCTCGTACAATAACTACAGATTTGAATCTAATGAATTACCACAGAAATGCGATAATTCGACATTCAATTGCATAAAAAGACAGCTTTCCTGGCCATATTCCATTTTCTATTTTCCAATTCACCTCTCTGTAACCTTCATTGACCCACGCTCTCAAGGCTTATCTGAAATCCTCTATCTTCCTCCATGGACAATCATTAAATGGACTAAATGGTAACTTAAAAGAGCCTCAAAAAAATCCATATTTCTATTTTTATACCTACTATTATATTGATTTTTCTTGACATTTTTTATTCCTAATATATGGCTGATCTATGTCACATGCATAAAAATTATTCTTAAAAAGAAAAAATATATCATATTGGAATTAATGATTATTTTTTCATTATAATTTTACAGATTATACAAAAAGGAAAATTGAGAAATAGATGTTTGAAAATCAAATGTGTGCAGTATCAAAATAAGCAAAATCAGAGTAGAGAAATTAGTAATCACATTTTATATTTAGCTAAATATCAACTGTAAATCTCACTGGTCAGATCCATAGCAAATATTTGTCAAGCCCTAAGCTTAATACCCTGGTCTTGTTCTAACCAGTTTATAAATATTACCTAATTTAATTATCTCAACAATCCTATATAGTAAATACCATTTACTATTGAGGAAACTCAAAGCAGAGAGCTTATGTAAATCGTCAAAAGCCACACAGTTGATAAGTGATAGAAACAGGATTCAAGCCCAAGAAATCTCACTTTGGAGTCTACTTCTTAAGCTATGTGGCTAATCAGTCTCTCCTTTACTATCTACTTTTTGAAGGTGGTAACTCTGTTTTGTCTCCAATACATCCCCCATATTCCTAATCCCTACTGAATCTATTTATGTATTCATTCACTCTTTCTTCCTTACCTTCTCATAATTGGTCTGTTTTGTTTAAACAAATAAGCAAACCCTGTGCTGTTTCTAATCCTCTATTTGCATTAAGATTACTCTCTGCTGCCCCCTGGAGATAGTTTGATGAAACCAATGCTAAGATTTTTGTAAATTTATTTAGCAAATTCAAAAATAGCTGCACATTAAGATTTTGATCACAAAGGATGCTAACATGCCTAAACATTATACATTTAATTTACATCTTTTGGAAACTGCTGAAACATAACAAATGACTACCTGATGGAGAGTACAGATATCATACCTTGAAGAAATGGTGCTGAAAAAAATAAAAATGAATCTTTTGAGTTGCCAGGATGGTTTAATAAAAACAACAGTGCTGCCAGGCATGGTGGCTCATGCCTGTATTCCCAACACTTTGGGAAGTTGAGGCAGGAGGATCACTTGAGCCCAGGAGTTTGAGACGAGCCTGGGCAACATAGTGACAGCCCATCTCTATAAAATGTAAAAATTGTTTTAAAAGCAGCAGTGTAAAGAAATGGATAAAC